TGTGTTTGGTTGCAGGGGAACCGGTCCCGGAGAGTTCCTTGGGGCTTGGGACGTTGCTGCTCCTCAGCCTGGTGAGATTGCAGTGGCTGATTTCGTGGACCAACGAGTTGTGATTTGCAGCATAAATGGTTACCACAAAAGCACAATCCAAATGCGACCACGTAAGTTTAGATGGGAACTGCTCATAATTACCGAAGTGCTTTGTTTGTTGTACCGTAGTTTACTTCGGAATTGCTCGTTGTTAAGCCACATAATAGGTTGAAAGACCTGTTACAGAATCGCATGGTACCTATACGTAAGAGGCTATAAGAGGGAAAAGAAGATTTCCTAGATAGGAATTAAGCCTTTGTTTGGCATATTCAATTTTCCAGACATTGTGGGGTATTTTATTCATGGAAACCTGCTCTCAGCAAAAGATTCCATAGTGGTTAAATTGCGTAATACCTGGGCTTGTGAAAAATCCCGTGTCCCAACAAACCGGTTTTTTTTGTTTTGTTTTTTGTTTTGTTTTGTTTTGGTTTGGTTCTTTCTTTTGGACAATAATGCAAATGTGTGCAAACTAAGCAAATGTACTGAATATACTGAGACAAAAGTTTGTCTCCCGTAGAATTCACAATAAAGCAGCACAGGTAGTGGGCGGTTAGGACGAAAACTCACTCTTGCTTCTAACACTGGAGAAAAAGTTACCTTATTCTCGCACTTTTTGTCCCAATGTATTACAGTATACTAATATTAACAAGAGAGCAGAGATTGAGAAGTGGCTGCAGCTATGGCTTATCTTGGTGGCCGCTAACAGAGCGAAAAAAATCCCATGATGTCTGTACCTGCAGTACGGGGAGGCACGGTTAATACACCTTTTACACGAATCATTGCTATCTACGAGCACTTAGCTATACGTCAGCCCTTTTTCTGGCACTTCTTTCAAGAATTTTACTCTTGCGCAATAAAGTTTCGTCGATCACACCACGATCTGACCTATTTCGATTTTTGACGAATCTCGGTTTTTAGCATATTCTTGTTCTGCATGATCGAATCTTTACTTTCTGAAAGTTTCAAACTTAATAGGTGCTCTAAAAAGCTAATTAAATTAATTTGATTCATTGAAAATTTTGACATACCTCTCCAAACTTTAAAATTATTATTTCACGGACTGATGCATTCAGATAGGTCACTGCGTGAAACGTGTAGACAATTCACGAAGTGACCTATACAGTCTGGTATCTGGACCGTAAAGCGATACCTGTCGAGGTCTTTTGAAGTTCGGTGATTCGGAACCAGTCTTTAGCGCTGTTTGGTGTAATTCAGTGGCTGAACGTTGAACCTTAATCCCAACCCAGTTTCTGTTTCTGTAAACGGCTGATGGCAAATATATATATATATTTATTTATGCCCACGTCAGCGAGATCAAAAATAGCATTTATACCTGTTTGTTTCGTGACTTTTGTGCTTTGTGTTTTTCTTTTAGGTTGATTTAGTAAACCAGTCCATACAAAATTTTAAAGTCTACACAGTTAAAAAGAAGCTAAACACGTTGAACTGTAACAAGCTATATCCAGTTGCCATGTTTCTGGTTAAACTTGCAAAGTATGCAAAAACCTAAAGCATTGTTTGCTGCATACTGCAAAAATAAGTACACAAGACCGAAACTCGGATCGAATCTCTGTCGAGTACTTTTTTGGTAAAAACCCATACAAAACTTTATACCAATTCTTAAACTGAAATAAACGAAAAGATATTTATTACTGCTTTGACACCTGCCGTATTTTGCCTCAGAATTAAAGGGGCAAACGGTCAGACTTAAAGATCAGTGTAATTGTAGAACTCTTTTTACGTGAGCTAAGATCCTATTTATTTCATTTTCTTTCCAACCCTTCCCTTACCACTGTTTGTTTGTATGCATTTTCCCTCAGATATTTGATACATAGCAGTGCTGGCACTCCCTATCATAGAATGTTTGCCAGCTGTTACAGTATTCATAATAGTTGGTCTATATCCTTCACTGATGTCATTTGAAAGTCATTGATGTCCTGTAAAACGACTAAGAGCCAGCTCTGACACTGTTATATCTTGCACAAGTCCATTTTACTTTCCTTCAGCTTTTGCAAAGTGTTACTCTGTAGGACCTTTTTAATCGAAAAACATAAACAAAGACAGGGATTTTAAACGAACCTTCAGATGGATCAACGGGAAAAAGTCCGCGCGCGCATGCGCAAACGACATAGGTCACTGTCATCTACAGAGAAATAACAATGTTATCGTTCCACAAAGTGACCCATATGGATAGGTCGCGCTTTGCGCTCATAACGTATGACAACGAAATTTTAACGAAGTGACATATATGGTTTTGACGCCTAATTTTGATCCAGTACTAGAAATTCTGCCCAACTAATATATCATTTATTTATTTAACTGTCGAACTTTATTCAAATACGAAATCTGTGTCAATTAATAGTGGGGAAATGAAAGGTCCAATACAGGCCCAACTTCAAACGCGTTTTTCTCGAAATGTCAAAACTTGAGATAGGTCAGATCGTGGTACGACCGACGACATATTGGCTCCCGGCATCTGTTTGCCGAGGAGCGGACGAGGGGTGACCTTTGTTTAGGTTTCTAAATCTTTATAAATGCGGGTTGATTGGTTAATGTTTTTTTGTTTGTGTCTATCAATTCAAAAAAGCCCCACGTGCCATTGCAGCTACGAGCACCGGCAATCGCTTGGTGGTTGTTGGGGAGAAAGCATTCCACGTGAAAGTCTTTGACAAGGACAACACGCTGGCTTTCCAGTTCCCCACAGTGCCACCGAGTGAGGTCGGTAAGACCGCAGTGAAACTCCAGAGTGTAGCAGTCAAGACGGATGGGACCATTGTGGTTGGTGACATTGAGAGAATGGTGCTGACCGAACACAGCCCCACTGATGGCGAACTCAGAAGCACCATCCCAGTCAAGATTAAACCTTATTTTCTGGCTGTTGACAGCAATGATCGAGTTGTAATAAGTGATTCCACATGGGCTTCATCAATGTCGCGTACGGTGGGTATTGTTGATGGGAATGGTGATACAAAATTCCCCATCACACCTACCATTGAAGGCCAACCAGTTGCTATGTGCTCCAATGTCTGTACAGGTGGCACAGATATCTATGTTGCAATGTATAAGGGTGATCACAACGGTTGTATCTACCGCTATAACCCTCAAGGCGGCATTCTCCGCCGCGTCGTCCAGGGTCTGTACCGGCCCCGGGGAATCACATTCACGGCAGACGGACAGCTAGCAGTGGCGGACACCTATTCATTGAAGATATTCCAAAAGGTGTAATAGGCCTACAACAACGCTGAACAACTCCTTTTATGCACAGCTTCTTCTTAGCGAGAGCCTTCATTCTAAGCTTTGTAACTGTAGGCTTTCTATGGAATCAATTATTATTAGTCTCATCTCCGTGTCTTCTAGATGGATATGTATTTGATTTCATTTGATTGTTATTTCCTGATACGGTGTTGATAGTGTTGCACTGTTTTAAAATATGGTTTGTGTGTGCAAGTGTCATTGTATTTTTATTTATTTATTTTTGAAAACGATGTTAAGAAACAAAGATCGATCTGTAGTAAGTTACTGCTCCAGGAGAAACTAAACCAGCACTGACGATTTGGTATGAAAAAGACGTTATAAAATGCCTTAGGTTAGGATATCAAAGTCTTTCTCTCCATTTAGTTGTGACATGTTGTAGTGTTCTTTATTAATTTCCTGCGATTTTTACTTACAAGGTCTAAAGAAAAACTAGAACAAAAAGAAAGAGAACCGAATTTGTATTCGTTATCATAAAATAACTTAGGGGTTGAGAGATGTCTCTGGTTAAGAAAGAATAGCTGTTATATAATTACAATTAATTCATGATCAGTTTAGTGTAAGCGACTATATGTTACCATTTGCCGCCAGTGTTGACAATACCTAAAAACTAGATTGCGGTTTATATGGAGATGGTTTGTTGTTATATATCGCAAGCATTTGGCTTAATTGGGCGTACACATACTCACGATAGAGCGGTCTTGTCTTTGGTTTGCGTTGACTACTAGTAATTAACCCATAATAATCAGTGTTAGTTTTCGTTTGTGTAAATGGAACGGAGATAACCCCCCCCCTTGTGCTGGTCATTGTGTGATTTGAATCTAGGGAATTCTTTTCAGACATTTAGAGGAACGGTTAAGTAACAATAGTCTAGAGTGTGTATAGAGTTTCAACGCTGAATTTGCTTATTGTTCAGGGCCGTACTAAGCGCCAGCAAGATCTAGATGGAAACAAGACATGTGTATGACTGAATAAAAAATCTCATGTTATCAAATTTGCAGTAGTCTTCTTCAAGCAGTGAAATTCGTTGATTTCTTCTATTCCTGTAAAAGAAATCATGATACTTTTGCACCCTGGGATTTTACGAAAATGTACAACCGATTAGGATGAAGCCAGCTTTGAACTAAAGGCCACCCTGATGGTGATCAGCTTGCATTTTCTTTTCGCTAGCGAAGAAGAAAGGGTGAAATATTCTATCAGCTCCTGTTTGGTTCTGCATTTAATGGCCTTCTTTTCCACATTTACGGAAAACTGGAGGAATCCTTACCCTCAACCGTTCGGAGGACGTCCGTAAGACGTCGGAGACTACCTACGTGACGGGAACCAGTCCAGGGCGAATCACGCCCTTACACTCAGGGGGCGCTGTTCGTAATGCAGATGTAAATTTTACATTTGATGAGATCAGAATTTCCGGATCGTTTTTTCTTTGTAAAATATTATTATTCAAAGCTGTAGGCTTATAATTAATTCAACAATTTAGAAATAAATACATAAATAAAAGATCGTGCCCAATGTGGCCTTTATTAAAATATACTCAACAAATAGAGCATCCAATGAATCGAGGTTCAACTGCGCAATGATTGGTTTCCGCCGCAATGAATTCAACGAGTGAAAGCAGGAAGGGAACCAGTGTAACTGCACAACAATGAAATTCTGACGTGGGGTGACGCGCATACATGAATTCTCGGGCATCGTGCAAGGAGCTTCAGTTAAACTACGCCGCATTTACAGTCAAAGTAAGTATGCCATCTTTGCGTCGAAATTAACGGTTTTTGACCTTCACAAGTAGAAGTGGCATAGTTTACTGTTTTGAGAGTAAACTGCACTAATCAAAGATAGAACACAGGCGAGTTTAGCACGAAATTCAATTTCGATTGTGACTTGTTCACTTCATCGTGGTACACGGATAGGCTATGTTCGGGGGTTCACGTTCCATAATATACGGAAATCACTTATTTCCATTGCAGCAAATCTATTAGGCATTTGGAAAGTGATAACGTGTCTAAGCAGTCAAATTTAGCAGTGAAAAGATTAAACTATCGACTTTGAAAGCATTTAAAATTTTCAGACCAGTCCTCTAAGGTTTATGGCAGGGGTGTCATCAAGTGATGGCCGGATGCTGAATTCTTGAAATTCCACGTTTTCTTTCAAAGTCGTCCTCAAACTGGCTCGTCAACCCTTTTGGTAATAGGAAGACTTCCCGAGGAAGTAAAGATAATTTGGGAAGTATATGGCCTTGCATTCTGATTTGAAATTGGATGAATGTTGTATTGATTACTCCATCAAACTGACAAAGACAAAAACCCCTGTAAAGGAGAGCTCGAGTTAGATATACGGACACCACTTTCCACACTATGACCAAAACCCTGTGGGGTTGGTCTGAAAAATTCTTTATCAAGGACACGAGTTTTTTTCTTCCTCCTAAATCGAGCATTTCTGGACATGCTTCGCTTCATGAAGGCTAATAGGTCACTTTAGGGATTAATGGTGTCCGTACTTGGAACTCTTTCCCCTATAAATTTGAATAAAGGTTTCCTTAAACCTTACTGTTCCTGGAAGTAACCTCTCCTCACAAAACAATCCACCGATCTGCATACTGTTACCATTTACACAATTCATCGCACAGTGCTCATGCACAGCGTCACAAACGTTCAGCTTGACCAAATAATGTGCAATAATTCATTTTTTAATGCATTTTTAATCTTAAAACGTGTATTCTTTTCTTTAAGTTCTAGCAATTTACTACTTTTGTGTCTTTGTGGGGCGATGTTGAAATAAATGTGTGTGCAAATCGAATAATTATACTGGGAGTGTAGCAAGGTGCGTGCTGTCATAGGTTACTCCCAGTAATTATTCCTTTCAAAGACCTATTAGCCATCAGAAAGCAAACACCACAAACAGAAAAGTTCAATTTAGAAGGGAAATAATCTAGTCGTTTACTTAGAAATCAAAGAAATTTTTAAACAATTCCATAGGGTTTGTGCACAGGGTGTCAAGTGGCGTCCGTATGTAGAACCCCCCCCCCCGCCAATCAGAAAACCACTCGGACTACACAGTAGGTAGCGAAATTAGAGACCTAGCAAGTACACCATCACGGACGCGAAGACATGAAACCAGATCTAAATTCCCTACTGTGAAATTCGTATGGTCAGATTCGTTGTCTGTCATCAGTTGTCGTGCAAGTACAAGTGCAAAAACAGCCTCACTACTGGTCCAAGGTCATACTTCCCAGATTACGTGTGCTTTTCTTTTTATACAGAGGGTTGTGGGGCCATTTTGTGGAATATTTTGTAAGAAGGATTGAAAAATTATCCTTTTGGCAAATAAATACTTCCAGAGTCCTAGAAGTTAGGATTGAACAAAAATAGATGTAGCATCTCCAATTCTCAAATTTATGAAACTGGTAACTTTGAAGATAAACTTGAGATAGAGTGTAAAGCCCTGTCCCAGAGCTACCAAGGATTGGGGGAATGATTTCAAATTTTATTTTGTCATTTTACAGATGATTCCTGTGCACCTTGATTTTAATCGGCGAGGGAGACTGGAAGCAACACTCGCACAGAGAGCCCACATAGAGCCCGCCAAGAGCCCACAGAGTCCACATAGAGCTCGTATGAAGAATGTTGCAGTGAAGATGCCTGCATAATCAAACTCAATGCAACAAGATTCCACCATTTGAACTGGAAGTGAGACAATGGACCTTGCGATCAGAAAA